TGAAGAATAGAAGACAGGCAGACTACAGATATCATTTAATCTAGTGTCTGAAAAATGGTATCTAGTCTCTGCTGCAATAAGCTCTTGCCCCCTTGAGACAGGCCATGTCATTGTTGGCCACTTCTCATGGTTAGAATTTCTTACAGTGAGTCAGACTTGCTTTCTGAGACCTAACTGTACCATGGGAACCATAGAGCCCATTTTAAATATACTTCCAAAAAATAGTCTTCAGATATTGGAAAACAGTGAATGTAACTCCCCAGATTTATCTCTTCTCCAGGATAAGTGTTCCTTGAACCACACCATTCATCCCTCAAGAGACAGGGTTTCAGGTCCCGTGATCCGGGCTCATTCATTCAACAAACATTTGCGAGGCATATATGTGCCATGTTCCGTGGGAAAAACTGGGAATACACAAGGTGAAGAAGACACAGTCCTAACACTCAAGGGCTTTACTTCTAGTGGGAATGACAAAGAAGTCCCTAAACCATTGCACCAACCCTAGTAGAAGGTGTGTAAGTGTAGTGGGGGTCGAAGAAGGAGACAGTCAAATCTACCCAACGGGTCAGGAGGACTTTGTGGAGGAGAGACTTCTTCCTCTGTAGGTCCGTACATAAATCACTTTATCTTCCTCTTCATCCAAGGACTTTACCTCCTTCTGCCTTCTTTTCTTGGCATTTCTCTAACACATCCTGTTAGAGTGTTATGTTTCAGGAAATTTTTTAAAAATATATTCATCTGCCACCTTAGAAATGTTTTCATAAGAAGAGAATCTAGCAGCTTGTGACAAGAATGACTATTTCGGCACATAAAGTCTGAGACACTTTTACCAGCTCCCATTCTTACAGTCTCTCCAACCTAGCTTTCCTCTCTTTCGTTATTCTCTTTTTCTTCCTCTCTCCTTCAGGATTTCTCTCACTCTTCCTTTCAAGGCATTTTTACAATCTCATAGTTAACCCTCACCCCACAGCTTTTTTGTAAATTCAGATGGGTTAAGGGACATGACAGAGGGCACAGGCTGGGAAGTAGCAGAAGCACGATTTGAACCTAGCTCGTCTGATAAATATTCACATTCAGTTATAGGAAAAGAGGTCACAGGGTTCCTATCTGACCCTTTGCTAATACATGAATGCATATTTGAAAATATAATCATTTCCACTACAGGCTAAAATGCAGGCCTAATTCTCCCACCTAGTTCCCTTCTATCCTTCTTGGATGAAGTATAAAATATCCTCTCCTAACTGTGTTTAACCTGTTTCTGCTAAATGTACGTATTTTCCAACTATTTAATCATCACTTTCACATAAAAAAGTTGTCTTCTCAGAAAAAAATTTTTTTTATCTTCTCATAATGTCCTGAGCAGGTAAATGTGTCAAAGTCCTTTATCTTATCTTAGAGGATGCAGCATGATATAAAAAACAAGGTTTCCTAAAAGTCAGTAATCTCTATACCACTTTTATTATTTTTGCTACATTCTTGAACTACTTACAGCACTTTAAAAAACTGTTTTAATTTTGGGGTACCTGGGTGGCTCAGTGGATTGAACATCTAACTCTTGATTTCGGCTCAGGTCATGATTTCACAATTTGTGAGATTGAGCCCTGCATAGAGCTGCATGCTGACAGGGAGGAGCCCACTTGAGATTCTCTCCCTCTCTACGCGTTCTCTTTCTCTCTTTCTCTCACTCTCTGTCTCTCTCAGAGTAAATGAATAAACTTTTAAAAAACCCTGTTTTCATTTCAATTTATTTACTTTTTTAACTTAAATTTTAAGACGAACTTTAAATCTTTATATAGTGTCCCTATATGTAATGCCAAATTTTGATGTGCTCTTTATGTGTTCTAAATATTAAAATAAATGGATAATTATAGTATCTATAAACATTTGTTCTGCACTACTTAAAATAATCTCAAGAGCACATCGGTGAAACCAAGGCTGCTGCATGCAAAACTCTAAGGGTGCCATTTACATCATGGTCATGTCAGAGCTGTTCAAAGCTGTGGCTATACACATTAGCCCTGAGTAAACCTTGGGAACTTTAAGAAATAATGGAAAATGAAAGGATACTTAATGGGAGTCTGTAAACCTGTACTTGAGCCCTGGCACTGCCACTGACTTACAGTGTGATTGAGGGTAGATCCTTTCATCTCTCTGGACCCCAGCTTCCAGATCTGAGAATTGAGGGGGGTTGACCTGAAGAGCTAAAAAGTTGTTACCATCTTTGTTGCATTGTTGTCCAATCTGTGTTGGATTGTTACAATCCAGTTGTTAACAATCTTTCTTTTGAGTAGCTTTAGTCATTTTAGATACCATTCTGAAGCTTTCCCTAGCTCTTACTCCCAGAGGAAAGCCTTGCTGTTATTGTAATTCAGCCAGATAAAATGGGTACTTACAGACTGAGAAAAAGAATTTTCTTTGCTCCTGTACTCAGGAGATAAGATCCGGCAAGTCTCCCAAGACAGGGTTCACATTGGGCAAGAGAGCAGCTCTGGGGAAAATTGTGGATTTCATGTTATTGTATAAAGCCAGATGTTACCACTATGTTTATAGATACCGGTATCTGTGAATTTTTTTTCTCTTGACTAGAGAGTAAGCTGTTTGAAAGTAGGATGAAATCCTCATAGTGCATTAATGCAGTAGGATCACAGTAAATGTTTGAAAATGGGAACACAAAGGGAAGGAGAGAAAGGAGAAGGGAGACAATGGAAGAAAGGAGGGAAGAGAAAAAGATAGGACTGGAGGGCTTATCCTTTTATTCTCTAGAATAGGCTAAATCATTTTGGCTCACCACAGGAGTGACACCTAGATGTGAAGGACGATTATTTCATGATTTCTGTTCTTTGTCTTAATTTTCAAGAATACATTATTTCACACAGTAGAAATGCCATATAGGATGTTTTTCTAATCCTTTCACCACAGTTAAGACTATTTTGAGATTTCCCTTGTGTATCTTTGATCTTTTATTCATAAGTGCATCCTATTTAAGTGATTTAAATACAATGCTAATTATTGTATATTTTATTAATTCATTTATTTATTCCAAAAATACTTTTGAGCCCCTACTATGTGTCAGAACCCATGCTAGACATTGTTGAAAATATAATGATGAATAAGATATAGTTCATGACCTCAAAGTTTCTATAGGCTATTTTGGGAGAGAGACAGGTAAATTACAAAAGACCATTGACATTTATGAATTACTATTCATTGTTTCAGCTATCCAATTCATGAAGAGCCTCAGAGATCCATGACATGAATCTAATTGTAATGAGAATAATTACACTGATATTGTGGGCTGTTGAGAGGATTAACTGAGATAATGCATTTTTAAACACCCAGCATGAATTTGAATCAAGAGCACTGTAAAAATCTTGTACAGGAGGAACTCACTTGGCTAGTCAAGCCAAACAGAGAAAATGGGTTGTAAAGAGGTGGGAAATGAAGATAGAATACCCCATTCTCCAAATTTGGGGAAGGGAAAACATTTCTTGTCATCAATTTAAAAAATACATGAAATCAGCAGCACAAATTGTAAAACATAAGTGACAATCGAAGTTCTTGTGTGGCAGTATTTATAAAAATTACAAACTATTTATCAAGATTTAAAAAAAAGAAACATAATGATTGAAAAGAAAAAGCATAAGCATGCTGATATAAATCCAGTGAAGAGCACTCCTCCTGCCATCTCCACCTAGATGACAATCTGTTTCCCTTCTGCACAAATATAGTTGTTCATATCAAACTCGCACAGTTTGTATCACTTAGAACAATTTATGACGCATCTTTGGTTGTCAATCTTTTTTAACTATGATGACATTATTTGAAATTCTCAAAAGTGTTTTAATTTTTCTTCTTTGACCCCCTCTCAGTGGCTGTGTTCAGAGCAGCCTCTATTCTCTGTCTGTTTGCTTCTTTATTTCAGCTCTTATTGTTTATGCCTGCTATTGCCTCTTCTTTACCTCGCCAGAATTATTTGGCGAGAATTAGTGTTTCAGAGACTGGAGAAACTGCCCTAGTGTGGCTTGAAGGTTCAGGACCTTGGACAGCACCATAGGTGCCCTCCCCATTTCAACATTCTCATGGTATGCCTGTGCAACCAATTATGAACAGCAATCATAAATGTATGTGTCAGGGACATGCCATAAGACTCAATTTAATTAGTGTTATCCTAGCAGAATAAACAAAGTGTTGTAAGAGAACCAAGGAGGGAGAGATTGAATCTTCCTAAAGAATCTGGGAAATTTTCCTACAGAAGGTAACAGGATACTGGGTCCTAGGAGAATAGTAGTCATGGTATCCAGCTGTTTGAGCTAAGAGACATCTCAATTGTCATTGTATACAATTTTAGTTTGAAAAAAGTTTTGCGTAGTGCATCAGGATTAATATGGACTGTGAATTACAGAAAACCTAAATAACTTAAAAATAAGGAAGTTTGTTTCTTTCATATAAAAGACATTCAAAGAAAATCAATATAGAGCTGATATGGAGACTTCACAGTTATTAGAGTCCCAAGATCCTTATGTCTTTCTCTTCTACTATCATTAACGGATTCAAATGTGGAGAGTAACTCATGATGGCAGCTAAAACTTGAGTCATCACATCTGCATTCCCAGCAGAAATAAAGGGGAGAGTTATAATGGTACCTCCACTATCTAACTCAGTCCTTCTTAAGAATGTGCCCTGGAAATTCCACTCTACAACTTCCGTTTACATTTTACTGGTCATTCCTTGCTGCAGGAGAAGTCAGGGAATGTGATATTTTAGCTGGACATATTACAGTCCATAACAAAATGAGAATTTTGTTAGTAGGAAAGGAGAATAAATATTAGACAATCTGTAGTCTCTGCCACACTTAATAAGCTCTTTAAGGGACCTTGTGGGTCATGTTCTCCTTTGTATCCTAGAGCTTAGCCCAGCAAATGAATAAACTGCATTTTAGAAAAATTACAAAATCTCCAATTCCTCATGAAAGGTTTTTCTCATTGCACTCTATTTTCCAGAATTTCTACTCACTGGTCCTGTTTCCCCTCTGAAGTCACCCTGAGTAAGTCCTTTGTCTTATGTGGAAAACCTTCAGCTATCTAGAGACACTTCCCATGTTCTGTCTCTTTCTCTGAGGTATTTGCTTCTCTAGGACAATGACCTCCATCTTTTCAGCAATTTCTTATAAGACATGACTCCTGGATTCTCCCTTCCAATTTGGCCCTCATGGCAGAAATTTTGTCCCATCCTGGAGCCAGGAATTAATTAATCCATTTCAACCATGGGCAGGACCTAACTTCAGGTGCTGTCTGGGCTTTGTACTGACTAAAATAAGGCCTTATAAATTATTTTATTTAATTCCCTTGCAATTAAACTTCTTACAAAGTAGATGAGGGAAAAAGAGAGACACATGAAAAGTAAACCATCATCCCCAAAATTGTCACTTGAAATTCACAAAATGTTACTTCCCTGTGTTTCATATTAATAACCCCTGGCACACTGGGGCTGCCTTTTGGTTGCAGCCCCAGGTTCTGTTCCCTGTTTTCCTTGGGAGTTGAACATCCAGGTCCCATTCCCCTATTTCTCTTCTCCTCAAAGCCTTGCATCTTTCCAGTTAAAACATTGTTCACTTATTGCACAATGGAGCTTGCACTCTCTACCCTGCAGAGTCAGAAAGAAATTTCCTAGAAGATTTAGCCTTTAGCCCAAGGCCTCAAATTTGCCTGACCTCCCCATTAAGCACCCCACCCACCCTTGATCCAGCCTATTTTACTGTTTCTGGGTTCCCTGATTAACTCTGTCTTTACATATTTTATGAATATATTCACCCACCCATGTAGCCAATACATAGATCAAGATACAGAATTTTTAAAAATTGTATTTGAGTATAGTTGAAATATGTTACATTAGTTTCAGGTATACAAATAGTGATTCAATATCTCTTTACGTTATGCTATGCTCACCACAAGTGCAGCTGCCATCTATCGCCAAACAGAGCTATTATAATATCATTGACTATATTTCCTATGCTGTACCCTTTATTCTCATGACTTATTCATCATAACTTAAAGTTTGTATCTTCCACTCCCTTTCACCCATTTTACCTACTCCCTCCCCACCGCCTCTGGCAACCATCAGTTTGTTCTGATTCTACTTTTTGTTTGTTCATTTATTTTGTTTTTTAGAGTGAAATCATATGGTATTTGTATTTCTCAATCTGACTTACTTTACTTGCAAAATACCCTCTAGGTCCATCCAAGTTGTCACAGTTGGCAATATCTCATTTTTTATGGTTGTATAATACTCCATTATCTATGTGTACATCTTCTTTATCCATTCATCTATCAATGGACACTTATGTTGTTTCCATATTTTTTTTAAATTTTTTTTTCAACGTTTATTTATTTTTGGGACAGAGAGAGACAGAGCATGAACGGGGGACGGGCAGAGAGAGAGAGGGAGGCACAGAATCGGAAACAGGCTCCAGGCTCTGAGCCATCAGCCCAGAGCCTGACGCGGGGCTCGAACTCACGGACCGCGAGATCGTGACCTGGCTGAAGTCGGACGCTTAACCGACTGTGCCACCCAGGCGCCCCTCCATATTTTTTTTAATTAAAAAATTATTTAGAGAGAGAAAGAGAGACCAAGTAAGTGAGGGGCAGAGAGAGAGCGAGAGAGAGAATCCCAAGCAGGCTCCATGCTGTCAGCACAGAGCCGGACACAAGGCTTCGTCCCACAATGAGATCATGACCTGAGCAGAAATCAACAGTCGGGGGTGGGGGGGCTCCTGGGTGGCTCAGTTGGTTAAGAGTCCAACTCTTGACTGCCGCTCAGGTCATGATCTCATGGTTTGTGAGTTTGAAGCCCACATTAGGCTCTGTGATGCTCTCTCTTCCTGCCCCTCCCCTGCTTTCTCTCTCTCTCAAAATAAATAAGTAAACATTAAAAAAAAAAAAAGAAGAAATCAAAAGTCAGCGGCTTAAACTGACTGAGCCACCTAGGTACCCAATGTTTCTTCAGTATCTTGGCTATTGTGAATAATGCTGCAATGAACATAGGGGTGCATATATCTTTTCAAATCAGTGTTTTGTTTTCTTTGGGTAAATATCCAGTAGTGGAATTATTGGATCGTATAATATTTATATTTTTAATTTTTTGAGGAACCTCCATACTGTTTTTCACGTTGTCTGTACCAATTTACATTCCCACCAGCAGTGCATAAGGATTCCAAGATAAAGAATATTTGTAGCCACCTAGAAGACTCCTATGTGCCTCCATTCAGTGAACACTCACCCGTCAATGACAGCCACTATTCTAGTGAGTTTGCCTGTTTTTGAACTTCAGGTAAGTGGAATTATCCAGTATGTACTCTTTTGCATCTGACTTCTTTCCTTCATCATTAAGTTGGAGAGATTCACTCACGTTGTGAGTAGCACTATTTTGTTCTTTTCCATTGCTGTGTCCATTGTGGCAAATGTGTTCAACATTATTTCAATTTGAGTCCAATCTATAGACAAGATGGAGAACCTTGGCTCTAGAGTCAGAAAAAAACAGGGGTTGAATCCTATCTTCAAAATTATTTGACCTGGATTCACCCCTGAAATGTCTACTCTCATGGTCATTGGGCTCAATTAGATACTGAGTTTCACTTAATTACTATAGGCCTTACATGGCATCAAATTAACTCACAAAGGCCCAAGATAACAGCATCTGGTACTTCTCCTCAGTAGTTCTTGTAGTAATCTAATAATTAGTTTTCTTTTGCCTCCCCCTGCAAGGGGACAGCTCAGGTACAAGGAGTTAAGATTACATCAGTGCATGTAGTGACAACCTTAGTTTAGAAATGACCTATCTTAAATAAGAATCAATACTTTGCATCCTATGGACACACCTTTCAGATTCCCTGTGGGAGATTAGTTTACTGCACTTAGGGAGATCCAAAGTCATGGCTTCCTACCTTAGATATCCTGACTTACATGCACTTTACCAATTGGGAGTTATTTTTACCACAAACAATGCTGCCTAATATCATAGCCCTCATTGTACCTTTATTGTATTTCCAGGGAGACAGAACATAAAGTTAACCCAAATTTGTCCTGAAAGGAGGAGAAAGGGAAAATGCTATATTCATATTCTCTTCAGCTGACACGCTAACCAAGGAGATTAGGTCTGAAAATGACTTGCTCTTTGAGTCAAAAACAGTATTTGCTGTATGAAAATGCTTAGTAAGTGTTTGCCAATGAGTAAATTATGACAAATAACAACATTAAAGAGTTGCTTCACTCTTAACATTTAACTAAAACAAAACCAAACCAAATGACTATTATGTTACCTTGGGTGAATCTTAATTTCTCCTAACTTCTGTTACCTCTTCTGTGAAATGGAAATAATAACTGTTCCCAATTTATTGGGATTGTTGTAAGAATTAAATGAGATAATGTATGTAAAAGATGTTACAAACAGCTAGACTTCATTATTATAAATGGAGAGGAGGCCTATATAGAGAGAAGGGATTTGTTAGCAGGTTACATATGGTGGCAGAACTGTTCAGGTCTCCTGACTTCCAGCCCAGTGCTTGTCCACGATACCATGTGGCCCCTTTTCACAAGTTGTCTTACCTAGTTATTGTTTAAGAAATCAAACATCCCAAAACAATCAGGACTTTTGTCCAAGAGAGACAACTTCTGTGAAGGGTCCACTTTGCCCTGTAGACTGTTCACCCATCCTGCACAGGACACAGTCCACTCAGATGCCCTTCTCCTGGTGTTAAGGGTGAAATTAAGATTTTTCTCCAGGCCATAAGAAAAAGTGAAACTTATGTTCTCAACTTGCTGCTGACTAGCAGATGAAGGGCAAACAGAGCCTCCAAGCATTCATTCTTAAAGACTCTGGTTCCTTTTTCAACAGCCACTGCAAGAAGGGGATATGAAAAGCAATATGATCAGAAGGTAATGAAAGAACAAATCTCACTGGGAGTTAAATACCATTGTTAAAAAAAAAAAAAAAAAAAAAAAGCACCATGGGCAGAAGCCCAAAAATCAGAGGCTTCCCCGAGTGTTCTTTGAATCCATTTTTTTTAAGCTGTTAAAAACACCCTTAAAATAAACCTGCCATCTTGTGAGGACAGGAAGAAGGTTACCCGTCTTTCCATCTCCATCTGTAGGGCTAGCTCAGCTTTAGGCTTCCTTGAGCCACACTCCCCCGCCTCCAGCCTGTTCTTTACAACATGTCAGGGTGGGGTTGATTATAGTTTCTTTCCCTAACTTAGCGAAATTCAGTCAGAATTAAAATTTGAAGTGAACCAAGGAAAGACTATATAGTAGTTCGCTTCACAATGCATTTTATTCTTGCGATTTCATATTCTCTAATCATTTCTCTTTTTTTATGTTTATTTTTAAGAGACATTCAGAGTGCGAGTCGGGAGGGACAGAGAAGGAGAGGAAGACACAGAATTTGAAACAGACTCCAGGCAAAGCCCAACACGGGACTCGAACTCAGGAATGGCGAGATCATGACCTGAGCCGAAGTTGGAATGTTTAACCGACTGAACCATCCAGGCACCCCTAATATTCTCTAATAATTTCTAACATTGCTCTCAGCCATTTGTATTTATCAGTATGAGTTTGGATCAGGTCAGTTTGTGAGTTAGGTCAGGGCTCATGTTATATCTAAGATTAGAGCTCAATCTGCCGCTGAGGTCATGGCTCATACTTCAGTTGGGATCAGGGTTCACCCTGTGATTACAGCTCCATCATGGTGGGCTATGAATATAATCTGTGATTAGGGTACAGACCTGTCTGTGACTAGTGTTAGGGCTCCATCTGTGCTGGAATCAGGTCTCAGCCTGTGGCAGAGATCAGATTTGTTCGTGGTGGGCACAAGGATTCAATCAGGGGCGGGGCTCATAGCAGGTTAGGGTTCTATTCCAGGAAAGAAGGTCAGGAAGTGTTGGTCAGAAGTTCAAAGAGTCCACTGAGTTGCTGTCATATCAAAGGACTGAGCAGATGGGGGAACCAGAGAACCAAGTGGGGGGGCGGATGTCAAAATAGAGTTGGTGACTGCCATCACCATGGATTACATTAAAAGGACTAACCATACCAAGTGTGGGTGAGGATTTGGAGCACCTGGAGCTTTCTTATATTGCTGGTAGGAGTATACATTGAAAAACTACATTGAACAGCTCTGGCGGTATAAATAAAGGTAGGTATATATATGTATGCCATCTGGGTTCAGCATTTCCACTCCTGGAATTGACAAACAACTGCTACACACAACATGGATAAATCTCATGAAATAGTGTTAAGCAAAAGAAGCCAGACACCAACGAATATTTTATGATTCCATTTATAAGAAGTTCAAAAACAGACAAAATTAATCTGTGATGATAGGAACTAGATAATGGTTACATTTGGGGGAGATATTAACTGGAGGGGGGCACAAAGGAGCCTTCCAAAAGTCTATGTTTTGAACTGGATGGTGGTTACACCATACATAAAAATTCACTGAACATTTAACATTGGTACCTTTTACTACATGTAAGTTCTATCTCAATGAGAGAAAAGAGAGTAAGGAAACCGTATGGAAGTGTGGTTGGCTAGGGGCACCTGGCTGGCTCAGTTGGTAGAACATGTGACTCTTGATCTCAGGGTGGTGAGTTCCAGCCCCACAATGGGTGTTGAGATTACTTAAGAAAAAAAAATTTTTTTTAAGTGTGGTTGAGGGGAACCTGGCTGGCTCAGTTGATTGAGTGTTGGACTCTTGATTTTGGCTTGGGTCATGATCCCAGGGTCATGGAGTCGAGCCCCAAGTTGGACTCCATGCTGGGCATGGAGCCTGTTTGGATTCATTCTCTCTCTCTCTCTCTCTCTCTCTCTCTCTCTCTCTCTCTGCCCTTCTCACACATTCACATGCATACTCTCTCTCTCTTTAAAAAAAAAAAAAAAGGTGGTTGAAAAAAAATTTAGCTGAAGACTGGTTGGGGAGTTAATTCCATAATGGCTTGTTGAGCCTGGGGAGTGGGCCTGGAGGGTGTCAGGGGTAGAAGGGTGCAGCCTTTGAAGCAATCACACTGGGAATAATATAGTGTTAGAAAGCCACACACTTGGAGTCAAAAGTCCTGAGTTTGGATCTCAGCACTGTGCTTAGTATCTAATCCAGTGGGAAGCATGGTATGTTGTGATCTGTCATGAAGTACCCCACAAATTATTCATTGGTAATTGTAAGTCACTGAAGCTTTTAATATTTTCCTATTAATTCCTTTCAATTCGTGATACATGCATTTGGTTACAAATTAAGCCTTATAGAACAGTATACAGTGAAAAGTCTATTTTACTCCCATTTCTGACTCCAAACACCAGTTCCTCAGTCTCCCTCTTGAGAGACAACCACTATCATTGGCTTCTTAAATATCATTCCAGAGAGTCTATGCATATTTTTTTTAATGTGTATTTATTTTTGAGAGAAAGACAGAGAGTGAGCAGGGGAGGGGCAGAGAGAGAGGGAGACACAGAATCCAAAGCAGGCTCCAGGGTCTGCGCTGTCAGCACAGAGCCCAATGCGGGGCTCGAACTCATAGACTGTGAGATCATGACCTGAGCCGAAGTCAGATGCTTAACCAACTGTGCCACCCAGGCACCCCAGAGTCTATGCATATTCATGAAGTATGTCCTTGCAGAAAATCACAAGGTATGCCTGTAATAATGTTGCTTATATATTGAATCCTTTATTTTATTTTCAAAATGGAATTAAGTTTTCATTATAAAAATAACACATGTTTATTTAAAATTGTATAAAGTAGAAGTGAAAACTCCCTAACCCACTGTACCACATCTTACTCCCCAATTCTAGAGTTAACCACTGTTTCTAGAGTTAACAGTTTTTGATGTGCCTTCCTGACAACTATATGCATGTGTAAATATACATAGAATATTGCTATAAACAGTAAATTTGCAATCTGAATTTTTTCATCAACAATATATCAGGGACACCTGGGTGACTCACTTGGTTAAGGCTTCGATTATTTTTTTAAAGTTTATTTATTTATTTTGAGAAAGAGAAAGAGAGAGAGGGAGGAAGAGAGAAGAGAGAGAATTCCAAGCCTGCTCTGTGCCATCAGCACAGAGCCTGACATGGGACTCAAACCTGTGAACTGTGAGATCATGACCTGAACTGAAATCAAGAGTCAGATGCTTAACTGACTGAGCCATCCAGGTGCCCTGCCACGCAAGCATCTGACTCTTGATCCCAACTGAGGGCATGATCTGAAGCCTACTTAAAACAAAACAAAACAAAACAAAACAAAACAAAACAATACATCTGAGATATCTTCCCACATCAATTACATATAGCTCAATTTACCTTTCTTTTTTTTTAAATGTTTATTTATTTATTTTTGAGAGACAGAGACAGAGAGAGAGGGAGAGAGAAAATCCCAAGCAGGCTCCGAGCTGTCAGTGCAGAGCCTGACGTGGGGCTTGAACCCACAAACTGTGAGATCATGACCTGAGCTGAAATCAAGAGTTGGACACTTAACTGACTGAGCCACCCAGGTGCCCCTCAACTTACCCTTCTTAACACGGCATCACATGTTTTTCCCTGGGAGAGAAAGCGGTAATGATGGGGCAGGAATTACACATGGGCATTTGAAAGAATCATTTGTCATATGTGTTACAGAAGAAAAGCATATTGAAAGCAAATAACCTAAGCTATCTGGGTCTCAGTTTCTCATCTGCAAAATGGAAATGATAATGAAAAAGCCCTGACTGCCTCACCAGATTGTTGTGAAGATTACAAGGAGAGGAGAATGGGTGACAGAGTACTTTGAGAACTGAAAAGTGCTGTGCAAATGTGAGAGACTGTTATTTCTGAAGGGGAGAAATGAAGGGTGGTAGTTCCAGAGTCTAAAGTCTAACAAGCAACACTAATAATAATTGCTTTTCCTGCCTTTCTTCACCAAATGAACTGATCATCTTTGCATAATAATCGTGAACATTTGTTGAGTTCCTACTTTGCTATCTTACATTCTTCCAAGATATATATATATATATATATATATATATATATATACACACACACACATATACAAATATATACATATATATGTATATATATTATATAGTAAATATATATATATATATATCTTCATTTATCCCTTCAACAATTCTGTGAAACAGGTTATTATTTATAAGAGTGAAACTCTTATTATTCTTGTCTGACTGATGCAGCGACTGAGTCCGACTTACTTAGCAAGTGGCAGTCTTACTTCTGAGCTATACCAAGCTCTGTGCTATTCGTTTTGGAGGCTTTTGCCATGCTTCAACTCTGTGGTTGGCCTGTGACTTGAACAGGCAGTTGGAGTGTATGCATTGAAGAAAGAAGTGGCTCATTCACCGGTACTAAAAGATAACGGGCACCTGGGTGGCTCAGTCGGTTGAGCGTCCAACTTCGGCTCAGGTCATGATCTCATGGTTTGTGGGTTCAAGCCACGTGTCAGGCTCTCTCTGTGCTGACAACTTGGAGCCTGGAGCCTGCTTTGGATTCTGTGTGTGTGTGTGTGTGTGTGTGTGTGTGTGTGTGAAAAATAAATAAATAAACATTAAAAAAAAAAAGATAAAAAGTACCCAATGACAAAAACCCTGAAACTCATAGGTAGTCACACAGGTAGTCATACTGCTGCCTGCTATGAGACCCTTCATGACTCCCTTCTGCTAAATAAAAGCCAAACTCCTCAGCCTGGTGTTCTAGGCCATCCTTCATCTAGTCAAACAGCCTTTCCAAGCCTTTGTTGAAGGAGCACCTGGGTGGCTCAGTGGTTAAGTATTGGACTCTTGATCTTAGCTCGGGTCTTGATCTCAGGTTGTGAGTTCAAGCCCCACGTTGGACTCTGCACTGGGCATAAAGCCTACTTCAAAAAAAAAAAAAAAAAAAAAAAGGTGTGTTAAATTCCTAGCCCCTAGTACCTCAGATTGTGAACTTGTTTGGAAATAGAGTTGTTGCAGATGTAATTAATTATGATGAAGTCATAATGGAATTAGGTGTACCCTAATCCAATATGACTGGTGTCCTTATAAGAAGAGGCCATGTAAAGAGACAGAGAGAAGGCTAAGTTGATGAGGGAGTCTGGGGCAAGCTGAGGGCAAAGTACCAGCTACCCCCTTGCAGGTGAGATATGTGTGGTATTCCTCAGACACTCTTGGCTGTCCAAGAAGATAGAGGGGGGGTTGATAGAGATCACGGTCATGCAGGACAGGAGTCTCCTTCAATTTACGGACAACTCAGTAAACTGCAAGAAAAAGGCAATCTTATCCATAGCCTAACCTCCAGAAACCTATAGACTCCATTTTCTGGACCCCTAATATCACCCTCATCAAGATGTGAGGGGGTTTAAGTGCTTGCCATGGTGATGTGGGAAACAAAGGCAAATGAAAAATTTAAATTCCCTTGGGGC